ACACAGCTATCGTCATCCTCCTTGACTGGTCCCAACCACATAAATGGCTGCGACAAATCTGGAGCTGGATCCAAGTGCTGGAAGAGGTCATGGGCGGGGTGAACACCGAGGCGCGCAACGAAATGGAGGATGTTATGACTTCTTGGAAGGAGCGCGGCCGTGTGGGCGCGTCGACGAACTTGGACGGAACGCCGACGGCAACAGCAACGAGTGGCGATGGCGACGGACTGCTGCCGCTGGGTCCAGGAGAGTGGTCAGAGCCATTGGGATTACCACTCTGCGTAGTATGCCAGAATGTAAGCCGCCCCCTTCTCTTCGCGCAGGACTTGTTTGTGTATAGCTAATCTAACGAGCTGCAGGCGCAAAAAATGGAGTTTCTTGAAAAAAACAAGAGCTGGAAAGAGCCCGACTTTGACACAGTCTTGCAGTATCTCCGAACCGTCCTCCTCCGACGTATGCTCTATCCCCAATCACAAACCTAACGCCACTGACGCTTCTTTTAGATGGCGCATCTCTAATATATACGTCCCAAAACACACCGTCTCAACTCCCTCTCCTCATCCATTCCACTCTCGGCATCACATCCCTTCTCAAGCGCCAACCGCTCAAACACAATGTAATAGACCGAGACAAGATTGTCGTCGCACCAAACTGGGACTCATGGGGCAAGATTCGCATTCTGGGTGGCACTTTTGATACCGAATTGATCTCTCAGGGCTGGGAAGCTGATATCAAGCTCCCTCCAGGATCCGATCCCGGCGCCAGCAACACCGACGACGAATCCCCCACGCCGACACAGGAACCCAGCGCCATAGCTCAATACGAACAATGGTGTCGTGACCCTAACAGCGGCGGTCTTGCCGTCGTTGAAAGCGCAATGTCAGACGGCCAAGCCGTCGGCGTGGAGAGCGACGACCCGCAGGACTTTCTGGAGCGACAGCTCAAGATCCTGGAGGCATTCAAGGCCAAGGCTCCTGAGAAGGGGGGCAGTCCCCTACCGGCAGGGAGAAGGGTCGAGTTTCCGGAGGAGAAGAGCGTGCACGATCACATTGGTCCGGTGCAGTTCAACATGGGGGGCATTCAAGTCGATGCAGATGACATGCTGCAGCGCCTTAAGGTGAGTCTACCATTCAAATTGCTCATTGAGTCCAAGTGCAATCAAGGCGGGAAGGCGATGCTAATGACAACAGGATCGCAATGCGCATGCTGCGCCAGACGACGAGGAAGAACAGGACGAGCTGCCGGTGGGCAACATGGCAAAAGAATTTGACAATGAGCAACTACAGAATTTCTTTAGCGGGTTGATGAACAGGACTTCCGGGGCGGCCGACAGCCCCCGGTCATGAAGGCGAAGCTCACTAGTGAACAACGGCAACTATTGTAGAATAGATACCCTGGAAATAAAATTCAACTGATTACTGTATGTGAACATTGAAGCTGAAAAAAATCAAAAATAAATAAATAAGCAAGGCACATGGTTGACGAGGCACAGAAGGAGCCCCAGACAGAACGGTTCTGGGCTCAAGTAACGCGACAGGCGCCTTCAGAGTGGTTGCTAACATTCTGCGCTACTGATATCCAAGTCCGAGATGCGAAATGCACTCGATAAATGCATTCATTCATACGTGGCGCACGGCATTATACGCTTTGCGCCTAGATTAATACGTTGGTTGACCGGCCTGTAATAAGCTCACGTGAACGAGCGTTCGCAGCCGCCGTGCCAACATTGAACAGCCAGAGGATACCTCGCTACGCTAAACAGCTTTCTCCCGTCCAACCTTGTACTTGACGTCGCTAACGGATTCTCGCGGCCCCAGTCTCGCAGTCACAACGCCACTCAATAGGCCTGGAAACAGCCACGGGTGCTGCAGCATCTCTGCCTCGAAGGCATTGACTGTCCCCCTTGCCAACGCTGAGTACCGCTCGTCGTCTAGCAGCGCGCCGAGACGGAACAGATTCGACGCAGCGACGGCGTTGACCGACGGCAGCGAGGTGTCCATGCCGTCTTTGAGGCGGAGAATAGCCTGTGGCGAGGAGGCTGTCGTTGAGAAGAAGGCGCCAGAGTCTGAGTCGTGGAAGAGCGAGTTTTGGGTTTCTAGGCCACATTAGTTTTGTGTGTTTGGCGCGGAGGGGGGGGGAGGTGAGGCGGCTTACTTTGGAGAGCGTCGGCAAATGCGAGGTGGCCCTCGTCGCTTGTCGCGGCGAAAAGGTCCAGCAGCCCGTGGATGAGGTAGGTGTAGTCGTCGGCGAAGCCTTTGGTCTCCCTGCCCTCGCGGTATATCCTGTAGAGGAGCTTTGACGACTCGTCCCAGAGAGAGGCCTTGATGAAGGCGGCGGCTGATTCCGCGGCGTGGAGGTACTTGTCGCTGCGGGCGGAGTCTACGGGCTTCAGGGCGGAGGAGGCTTGTGCGAGGGCGGAGATGGCGAGGCCGTTCCACGCGGTGATGACCTTATCGTCGAGCTCGGGCCGGACTCGCTCCCTTTCCCGTCTTGCTTTGAGTTCCTTCCGGGCGGCCTGGATGTGCTGGCGTACTGTGTCGGGAGAAATGTTGAACTGCCGGCTGAGCTCGTCTTGGGTCTTGACGACGCGCAGGATGTTGTGGTTGATGAAGTCGTCGTTGGGGTCGTGGTCCTCGTCTACGTTGCCGCCTTCTTGGACGTCCCAGTGGGCGGCGGCGACTTGGCTGATCTGCTTGTCGTGGCCAGAGGCGTCTACGACGGAGTCGAACTCGCGTCTGGTCCATAGGTAATAGGCGCCTTCTCTCATTTCCCTGTCGCCGCGTCGCATGAAAGAGTCGGCGGCTTCGCTGGTGGCCAGGCCGCCGCTGGGCAAGGCGATTGGGGGCGAGCTCAGATAGTCGGCGAGTTCGAGCACAATGTCGTAAAATTCGCTGTCCGCCTTGCCGCCAGCTATCCTCCAGGCATCGACGTACAAGGCCAACAGTAAAGCATTGTCGACAACCAGCTTCTCAAAGTTGGGGATGCTCCAGTCGGGCGTGACTGAACAGCGGGCAAATCCAGTTGCGCCGATATGGTCGTGCAGGGCGCCATCGCGGATCTTTCGAAGGGTGTCGACGGCCATTTCTGTCGCGTGCTTGCACTCTGCTTCGCCGACAACATCCTGCACAGCGCTGGGGAATGTGTTTAGATGTAATAAGAAGGCCAGCTTTGGGGGCGTTAAGAATTTTGGCGCCAGGCCAAATCCGCCGTATACGGGATCAAACGTTCCGGCAATATGCGTGTATGCCTCCTCCAGCTGGTCCAGATCCAGCTCGCTGGAAACCTGGGCATCCTTGTCCCTGGCGCGAATTGGGGTAGTCGGGTTGCTGGGGATATTCCAGCTTGGTGTGGCGATGGGATGTGTACCGGTAAGTCCTCGAGTGCCCAAGGTGCCCTCGGCGGCAAACTCTCTAAGCTGCGCCAGAACTTCTGAAGCCTCCTTGCGACATCGTGTCTCCTGGTCATGCCAAATGTCGCGCACCTTTCTGAAGATTGTTAGACAGTCGGGCGACTCGTCCTCGCTCTCGGTCGTAACTCGTCGCGACGTGCCAGGTCCTGGCCAGTATGTTCCGCCAAAGACGGGTTCCAAATTGGGGGTAACAAAGACGTTCAGCGGCCAGCCTCCTACATTGCTCACGGCCTGTACATAATTCATATAAATAGTGTCGACATCGGGGCGCTCTTCTCGGTCAATGATGACGGGAACAAATGATTCGTTTAATATGGCAGCGCATTCTGGGTTTGAAAATGACTCTTGAGTCATGAGACGACAGACTGTCAACTGTCAGCTTGCTCATTCAGGTCCAGGATGGTTTCCGCGACTCGAGAACATACAGTGACAAGCCTTGTATCCAATATGAAGAAAGAGAAGCTTGTTCTCCCGCTTCGCTCGGTCGACTGAATCGGCGTCCAAAATCTGCCATTTAACCAGGCTGTTTTCTGCCGCTCTAACAAAGGGACTCTTGCTGAAGGCCGCCCTATTCTGTAATGCAGTCGGTCGAGTAGATGCTGCTCCCTGGACAACGTCTGACGAATCAACTGCCATTGCACCCCTAGCTACCGCTGAAGCAGTAAGTTCCGATACAGCCATGTTTAGATGAAGTGGCAGCAGACGGCCGTGCAAAACGGTATTCCGTCAATGTGGAAGTTGGGGCTAGCCGAATGCGACAAGACGTCGTACCAGTCGCCGCTGGGCGCCTTATGCCGTTAGGATCAGGCCGGGCTTGGCGGGGATGGTATTCGGTCGGCAAACAATGGAGTATTTAGACTCAAGACTGCCGCTCCGCCCAGAAATGGAGAAATGGTGTCGCGAGAGATATATATGACGCCTTGTTGAAATGTCGCTCGGCGGTCGCAAACGGGGGATGAAGTGGGGGGTTGATTTCCCCGGGTCAAACTATCTCTTATCTTATCATGAAGGCCCCACCAGGGGTTTAGTGAGACTAACCCTAACCCTAAATCTCAGTCTCCAGACCACTTACTAGACATTTCGCAGCAAGCAGCCGGAAACGGAGAGGGCCGGAAAGCGTCCGGGTCTGTTCGGGTCAAGCCCATTGATACTGGCATGCAGAGTGGGCATATGATAAACAGAACGAAAAAAGATTGAATAGTGAGTCCTCGCGGCAAGTCGGTCTGCGACAAGGTAGGCGATTTACACCAATGCGCCGGGGCCGGGGCGCGCACTTGCGCGTAGGTATTATTGCCATTCTACGATTTCTTTCTGTCTTGACCTGCATTATATTTCGCAGTCACTATTATCAGAGTTCTATCCAGCATTATATAAAGAAATAGAATAAGATCAAAGATCATGACGATCATCGGGATTGTTCTGATGGGCTGGTGCTTGTTAGACCAATGCCACAACCACACACACACAGTCAATTGCACAGTCCTAGAATTAGTTGATCCCCCAATATTAGTGACTCCATCATGCGTGAAGCAGGTAGATAATGTATGGAATGTCCTATTGCAAGGCAAAGCATTATTGCTCAAGCATGTTCCTAAAAGGCCGCGCCGATTGAGCTATGAATAACAGAAACTCCACCTTTTCGGGGACACAAAATTGCGCCAGTCGATGTGATTTGCAAAAGCCCGAGACTCTGCAGTGGTAACCAGTCCCGGGGTATGAAGAAGTACCGTTGCACGTTATCTGCCCTGCTTGTAGGTCCTATGTGCCATGAACAAACTCGAAACGACTGATCTATGAAGACTAGTTTACCGTTGGGGAGAACGTTCAGTGGCATCTCAACCATCTGCGAAACTTTTTCTGGGATATGCACGAGCGAAATCGAATTTTCCAAGTTGTGATTCGCATCAAAAATCAAGAATCGGGGCCGTAGTTTGCTAGACGATGAAGTCCTGGATATTTTAACCAAAAGGTGACCGTCCACAAATGTATTTTTCACGCTCTCAACTTCTTCGTTGACAGGTACATCATCTACTGCATCATTAGGGTTTTGATGTGTGCTAGATGACCCTGGCAAAGAGTCATCCGGGCGGTCTCCGGTACTGATAGCATCCCAGAGGACTGTAGAGATCTTTTCCAGACTACATCGCAGGTGAACAGACACACCGTCAGGTGTGATGGACAGGAGATTCCGAGAATATCGAGGATGGGGAATCCACTGCCGGGATGTTGGTGATTGTCCATAGTCCCAGGTTGTCTCAAGTTGGGCTGGTTCAAGAGACCAACGTTGTACGGAAGACGATGACGACACAAGTAGAGAGTTGCGAGACCCTGGCAAGAAAAGTATTTGTGCGACACCCACAGTGTCAAACTTGGGCTTGAACCTTTCGACTCGGCGTGCTCGACGGCCCTCCTTCCCATGATCGAGCTGCACGACGGTGAGACGACCACCTAGCTCCGCGTAGCAGACACGATCGCCGTCTTCGCTCCAGGCGAGATGCTCAATACTCATTTGAGACGCAGTCTGTCCAAGGCGCAATTTCTCCGACGCTTCGTAGTCAAACAGCTCCACGGCCCCTTCCTCATTTCCAAAGCACACCGCATGGTTCTGCGGCGCAGGAGACATGAGGAGTACTGGAGCAGAGCTATCAACCGCCGTTTCGGAAGCCACTTGAGACTGCCGGACGCTTTGCTCGGCAGCCTGGCTATGAGCGGCGTCGTCGTCCACCATTGTCAGACGCATAAGAGCATTTGGCTCCCAAACGGTGCAGTAGCTGCCGCGAATATCATAAAATTTTCTTCCATCGTGGCTGAAGCAAAAAGCAGTGATCAAGTCATCCGAGTTTAGTTGGTATATCAACATGGAACTTTGGTAGTCGAAAAGCCTTATTGTCCCGCGAACTCCGCAGATTGCATAGACCAGCCCGTCTGGACTGCAGATGATATCGGACGGCATCTGTCCCGGTGTAGGTGCATGTTCTTGGTAGGCCCCATCCACAATGTTCCATCTAAAACTATGCCCGTCCATGAAAATTCCAAGAATCTCATCTCCTCCGGGGTGCCACGAGATCTTGGAGACAAACGGGAGTGGCTTCGAGGGTTGGCCGGCCTTGTCTGGTCGCGCCAGACGTACTAAGGGTGTAGCTGAGTCGAAGGACCAGATTGTGAGTGGGAACCTTCTGTAAGTCGCCGCAATCTTGGATCCATCCGGTGTGATAGACAATGCAACGGGGGAATTGAGATAGGTGCCTTCGAGCGATTCGGTATCGTTGAGGAGTTGCGGGTTCATATTGCTCCATTCACAGGCTGCTTTCGGGGAGAGAGAGACACGCAGGACACATCGATGGTCAGATCCCATGGTGATTGCGGTGTCGTCATCGACGAATCGCAGACAAAGAGCCTGCATATTGGCGTAGTTTGGGATGGATAACAAGAGCTTCCCGGTTTGGGGGGTCCAGATCTTGGTGTGACGGAGTCCATAGGTCGCCAGACGATCTCCCTTGGAGCTGAAACAGAGCGCTGAAACTGCTTCGCCATGCTCCAATTCAGCAACCTGGTGAAAGGTTGTGCAATCCCAAACGACTGCCGTCTTTCCTGAAGTCCCCACGGCAAGATATCGTCCAGAACAGCATATGAGCGTTGCCACGCTTTCGGCGCCAACGGAAACCCTGGCGAGGCAATCATCCCAGTCTTCCGGGAGCCCCTGTACTGCAACATTACTGGTTTGTTGCCTTCCAAAGGTCTTGAAAATCGAAGAGCTTGTAGGACAAAACGACGCCACGCTGGTGTAAATGATGGTCGGCTCTTGGGTTAGACAGCTCCCAAACTTGCCGAGTAACTTCAGCAAGTCCCGAGACCAGCTTTCCAAGACCTCGAGCTCATCAAATCTTCTGAAAGCAGGGTCACTGACAGCTTCGGCCTTTCTCTTTCTCCTGACGAAGGTATACAAAGACTGGGACGCTTCAATGAGCACTCTGAGTTGACCAAGTAAAGCCAGCACATGGGTCCAGATTAGAACCGAGGGCTGTGTGAAGAACTGCGTCAAAAGATCCAGGTGCTCATCTCCATTTTTCTGCAAGTCAGTGGCGCATAAGTGGTAAGGCCATGATGTCGCACGGTACTCAAGCAATTTTGGCGAAGCACGCTGAAGCTTGGACCGCAGGCCTTTGTCTAAGAAGGATGTTATGGAGGCCCTGAACAGTTCCCCATGTGCAGCGGGGCCGTCCAGAGAAAAAGGTAGGGACGAAGTCGTTGTAAGATACTCGCGGGCTGTCTGGTGAATCAATCCAATCTTGTCTTCACCTTCAATTGTTATAAAGTGACCACAGAGCCTGCCCGCGGTTTGAGAAATGTCGAGAATCCGGCCAAAATCGGGCGCCAGGGCATCGGAAAGCTCATCCATTGCAAGTGTTCGGCGCGTATACATGGACCAGATGAGGAGCCTACGGGCGAGATTCCGGTCCGAGGGCCGTTGGATGCGGCATATGGTCTCTTCCATGCGCTGATACAGTCCGTCCATGCCGCGAGGAAGTTCAATAAGGCGGTCTTCAATGTCCTCTTCTGTGTTGCAGTCCTTGAGCTCCTCCAAAATCAAATGGACCCATAGAAAGTTGTCGTTTGCTCTTTCGAGAACTTGTCGAACGACCTTGTCAGTAATCTTTTCCTCCCAGTTATTATATTTGAGTTCCTCTTCCACGTAGAGCCTCATGTCAGTCAAGTCGCTATCAATGCTGAACATGGAAGACGGCACCCTGGAACTAGCTCGCTCCAAAGCAGATACCAGAGTTTGGCTCCATCGACTTGTTACCAAGACCCTGATAGGAATTTTGGAAAGTTTAAGGTCCGATAAAAGCTCAAAGAGGTGATGAGGAGACGCGGCTTCGTCAACACCATCTATGATCCAATAGAGAGGTGGATGGAACTCCATCTCAAAAAGCAGATTCACAAACAGTCTCTTCCATGTCGATCTCCATTCAGCGTCTTTGGGCTTATACCCGCCATCTACCATGTCCAACAAAGTCTTGCGGAAAGAAGGAAGCTGTTGTGCAATTTGAAACGCGATGGTCCGGATCAGCGCGGCCATGGTCGTTTTGGTTTCATCGCCAGCCCGAAAGAAGAAATACTGCACCACAGCGCCAAACCCATTGAGATGCTGTGCTAAGAAGGACGCTACGACGGACTTCCCACGCCCGGGTCGTCCATGAATCATAAGAACCTCTGACTGTGATGGAGTGGAAAGCCACTCGCGAATAGGGGCCTGCTCGAGAAGCCACTGACATGTTCCCTCGGCTCGACGGCCGCAAAAAAGATCAAAGTCATGATCAATGGCCGCTGAAATAGATAGAAAGGAGCGGAGCCTTTCGCCATGTTGCGCATCGAGTTCGGTTCCTGGAACAAGATTACATTAGCGCGAACCAGAATAATGATGATGTAATATGGACAGTCTCGCCGCACACCTACCAGTCGAATGAATTGATGAAACAATGGATTTCAGGGCACCGACGACGACACGATAGTTGGTATCTTGCGGAGTCTCAAATTTGCACACATGATAGTGGTTTGCATTAAGCGATCTTGAGACCTCACCAGGGTACCCCAACTTTGCCGATTCGGGGTCTAGAATTAACTGGAGACGCTCTCAAATCAGTTTGAGTTGGCAACGACGTAGAAAGTCGGAGTGATGACATACTGCGGAAGATACCCCAATCGATGATCGTAAAGTTTCAAAAAAGGAAAATATCTGGAGTTCATTGGCGACATGGCGGAACTGCTCATTTACGGTATGCAGAAAAGATGAAGACTTGGTCAGCTCGGCAACGTATTGTTTCGGCGTGGACCCGAAACTAGCGGAAAGGACTCGGTTTAAATACGGGGCCAAGTCGGAGCCACGATGAGGAGTGGAGAGAAACACGACGGCTTTGGTGGAGTTCATGACTGTCGCATATCGCGCATCTAGCCGCGCGTCTAGATACGCCTAAATAGAAACGTCTATTAGTGCAAGAATCAGACGCGTAAGACCGTTCTGGGCTACGCAGAGAGCGGTTACCTTTTTAAACACAAGGCCTCCCATGGAATGAACGACGAAGATTATAGGAACCTGCGCCGAAATTCTCATGAGCATGATAGCAAGACACATAAGACAACCAATTGATCGAGCCTACCTCGCCCATGTGCAGGTGTCCCCCTTGAAGATCTCTGGCAAAGATCATATCATAAAGAAGATTCTTGGAGAAATCGCTGATACCCAGTGCTGAGCTCTGGCTTGACGAGCGAAACTGAGAGTTATATCCGAAGGTGAATATCCGGGCGTGATGCAAGTCTTCGTCCTTTGGTAACCACTCACGTGGCCAAAATGTGTCCAACCTCCGGCTCTTACACCATGTCATCCTGCTAGAGCCTCCGAGGCCGTGGATAAATATAATGTCCGCAGTTCGATTCTCCTCGGGTGTATATACAATAGATAACCCTAAAGGATCTGAACTGCGGTCCGTCGTGTTCGTTCCCGCTCCCGCATGCAAGGCAATATCAGACCCAGCATCAGGAGTCGACATGGACCTGTGGGCAGGAGATGTGCTGGCTGAGTCATATTGGCGTGTCGTCCCTCCGCGAGCGTCAACTTCTACATATTCACTCTGGGATCCTTCGGATGGATGGCGGGTCGGCGTTGGAGGCCTAGCAACATGTGTCGCATCACTAAGCCGCCGGTTCTTCGAGGACGTAAAGAGCTTCCGCGAGAACTGTACCAGAAAATATATGTTAGCTTGTGGAGAAGCCCAGTCTGTGATCTGTGCCAACGGAAACTTGGCTTTGCAACGTGGCTAAGCCTACCATGACGGGACCATTTCTAGTACTAACACTGTCCGTGCTCCTCCAAATTTCTGGTCCAAGTCAAATAGCGGCCCAACGACATCGCGTGGGAACCCAGGGGATGTCAGCAAGTTGGGAACCCCGCATCTCGTGAGATTACGAGGAGCGCAGGGAGAAGTTCAACAGGCAATTTTCCCGTGCCAATCAAGGCTGCAGCAACGCGCAGGGATAAATGGCATGCCGACCTAACCACCCGTCAATAGAGACGTAGCCAGCGAAAACTGCCGAGTGGTGCGCTTGTTGAGTGGAAATTAACTTTCGGAGTAAGTCTTCTGTCCAATACGTGTTAAACCCTAACATTTGATAACATTGAAATACGTGCGATAACATGATTCCTACGAACAAGAAGAACAATGATCATATGACTACTGCAGTAGCTAGTGATTACCGCCTGTGAACCGACACATACGATCGCTCTAGGGTGGTATTGTATACTCGTGGATTATCTCTAAGCGTTCCGTGTTAGTCTTTGCTATTAACATGGCGATTTTCTGTATTAGCAACACAAATCGCCGTTTCGCTTTGTATTTTGATCTCGCCAGTGGGTGTGTCTGCGGGAGTGTGCAAACGTTGACCCAGAGCCTTGTTGCCGCTTAAGTGTGTCGTCTGGTTCCTAAACCATTTGGATACTGGCCTCTGCTTCGGCCACTGCTATAGCCACCTTGCTAAAGGCCCCTGTGATCGCCTGTGCACCCACCATCTATACTCTTTTTAGCCACGCCAGTTCCTGTGCACCACAAGTATATATTTATATACTTAACGCGTAGTTTATAACAGGAGCAATATTTAACATAAAGAGTTATCTAGCTATTTAAGGTAAAAGAATCCTTAATCTCCTTAGGTATAAGGCAGCAGTAAGGCCTTTAGTAGCTGCTCTGGTTATATGTTCCTTGTACTGTAGGTTTATATCTATAACTACTCCTAGGACCTTTACACTACTTTTTAGCTTAACCTCTTTTCCTTTAATTAAGTATACATTATTATTAGACCGCAAAGCAGTCCTCGTAAAGTGGATTACTACCATTTTGTTTGCTTTAAATGTTACGCTATTACGTGCCTCCCACTTAAGCGTATCTTTAATAATTGCCTAAATGCCCGCTCAGTTTTCCTCTACGGTTAATCCCGTTACCTAAGCCGTATAGTTGTCTATAAAGGCAATTAAACCACTATTAACGTTGATTTTTCTTTGCATTAAGTCTGCATTAAAGAACAGGAATAATATTAGCAATAACAGTAACCCTTACGGCAGGCCGGCCTGGGCCAACACCTAACTTTCAGACGCGTGTCCATTTACTACCATAGAGGCCGTCCTATCCAAACAGAAGGCGCCTACCTAACGGCCCAGCCTGTCTGGTATGCCCCTTACCTTCATCCTTTCTAGCAGGCGCTCTTTGCACACGCCGTTATAAGCGCCTTTCATGTCAAAGCTTATTAAGCTGAGCACTTTTCCGGCCCTCTATGCCTTAGAAGCAATAGCGCTTGCTCAGCTGACCGTCTCTTTCTCGCTCTGAAGTGGTTTGCGGGCAAGAGTCCACAAGCCTCAACCGCGTAGGAGATCCGTTCTGCGATAACTGCTTCCATTAGTTTGCCTAGTGTTGACAAAAGGGATATCGGGGGGCACGGGGGGCCGTAGGTCCCTCGTATGCGACACGGTGGTGTATTACTCACGCCCAATTTGGAGGCTCGCGGCGCTATTGGCCAGCTTCAGAAAGCCGGTGGGAAGTAGAGGCACCGGGTCGGTGGCCCTACCTCTCGCCCAGGCGGAGAAAATGTGGGTCAGCCGTGCCCCAAGCAATTCACGCCGTTATGGAAGCTCTCGTGCCCAGATGGAGCAAAACTTGGTACAGTACAGCTGTAGTATCTTAGTACTTTACTCCGTATAACAAGCCCCGGTCCAACAGTAGCTCACAATCACAGTCAAGTTACATTGTATCCAAGCTCATAGGCGGCCAGCTTTCATCCTCTGGCCCGTCAGTTCACCGTTTGGGTCACTCGGACCAATCCAATCCAAGAACCCAATCAGGACGCTCAATTGTTGAATTCTGCTGGACCGTGTTATTTTTTGATTCCGCGCATATCATCCACTAAGACTTGGCTTCAGAAGCTCCATGGCGTGATACCACCTCAAAGTTTCTTGTCAGAAGCTCACCTTCGTCCCGACGGCCACGCCTCAAGAGCAGCCGCTCAACGAGAAACACGTTCTGCAGGTGCTATAATTTGACCAGTAGCCGAGCATATCAAAGTTTCAAGTAAGCCAAACCTTAACCCTAAGACGAACAATAACAAGACAAGACGACAAACTTCAACTAATGGGGTGGGTCAGGAAAAGAGCCTTGCGTTCCTCAAGGCACCTTGCACTATCCCCTGGAAATTTAATGTTGTACCTTTAGCTATGACCAAAGCTAATAGTCGCTAGTTTTATCGTGATGCTTGTCGCACGGCCTCGTCCTAATCTAACATGTTTCAAACCTCTACATTGTCAATGCGTTGCGATCCACTAATTGCCGGGATCTCGGAATAACCTATAGCGAAAGGGATTATATATAACTAACTTTAGCCACTCTAGTAAAGTTGATAGAAATCTCCAATGTTGCTTGGTATTATGAAAAACAACTTCCTACTACTATGTTATACACATCTATTCTCATTAATTTGGCTGCCTTGGCTGTCGCTACAGCACAGGGCATAAGACCATGGCAAGCCCCAGGCCCAGATGATTCTCGCGGTCCCTGCCCAATGTTAAACACACTGGCTAATCATGGCTACCTGTACGTTCCAAGTCCTATAACGTTACAGATATACTAGCAAAGCTAACCAAAAAGACCACATGACGGCCGAAACCTCACGGCACAACAGTTTGGCACCGCTATGGCCCAAGGCCTCAATTTAGAACCCTTATACGGCATGGGGCCTGCGAGCGCGTTTATGCTTGCCTGGGGCAAAAATACCTTTAACCTTGAGGACCTTAATACACCCGGTATTATACAGCATATTGCCTCCCTAACACGCAATGATGTGACGCCTACAGAGAAGAACATTGCCGTGGTCCCCGCACGGGTATCTGCCCTCCTAGACGATAGTCCAACAGACTACCTTAACGCTGCGTCTCTCGCAAAAAGTCGCGCCCGTGTGGAGGCATTATCCGCGCCACAGAAAATACCAACCCAACATGAAGTACTAGCGTTGACGGAGGCTGGCCTGTTGCTAATGATGATGAAGGAGGGTCAAGTGCCATCTGCTCTCAGCATGCCCTCTGTACAGACTTGGAAAGCACCTAAGGACCGCGTAAAAGTATGGTTAACAGAGGAGAGATTACCTGAAGAGTTGGGGTGGAAGCGTTCAGAGCGAACTATAGGTGTGCTAGATTTAGCGCCAGTTGTGGCGGCTGTTACGGGTGAAAAGACAAGATTAGATGTAATGGGTATGCTTTAGAAGTTACACCTGCGTTATTGTTTTAGGGTTCACAAGATCACTTTGTGATATATAGTGTTAGTAACTAGAAGGAAAGGGAGACTAGGGAGTTAGTGAGTAGAAGTAAGGTTAGTAAGAATATAATATATTAAGTTATTCTGCTTTAGCTTCTAGTTTTTTATATTTAGCTATTACTTCTAGGTTTACCTTAATAATTTTAAGATTATAATAAGTTAAGTATATTTACTTAAAATCCTTTTTTTTACTTAATATTATATAT